AGCCACCTTAAATGTAATCAAAACGACGACCACGACGACGATTAAAAGTTATGGGAATTGTTCCTCGCTTTTAACGAGTTGTGCCTTGCCCCTTTTGCGTAAGAGACGTCAGAAACAGAAGGCACGGTAGCGGATAAAATTTCTATCTCGAAAGAAAATGCAAGGGAAGGGTTTCTCACCGAAAACAGAAAAAAAAACGAAAATGCTTCTGAATTCTTATCTTTCCGACATTCTGGGCGGTGGCGGTGGTCAGCCGAGGAAGTAAAAAAAAAACTCTAAATGAATAGTTGAGACACAGGTATTCCGGCTCGATTAGACTGCTCATCAACTCCGGTGGAAGAAGCGATGGACTGAAAACATGGAATGAATTCTCAACCGCGTGGAAGGGAATAATCACATGGGTGGGCTCGATGTTTGGGAGTTTCGAAAGGTTTTAATTGATTTCCAGAAGCTCTCTGGTGCACGACCTCCCGCAGACTGTCGTCGAGAGCCTTTGGGACGATCGGAAATTAGGTGGCAGCTGGTTGGTGCCAGGTCTGATTAGACCAGATAATCACAACAGCGGATGGATTTTATGGCTCTCATATCGTGGGTAATTGTGTCTGTGTGAGAAGTGCGTTAGCGATTCGAGAATTTTGGAGACTTTCGGTTAAGCAACAGTGGTCCAGAACAGTGCTGATAAAAATCATTCCTTCTACACTCAACTTTCATTTTCATTTTCATTTTGCAGCGTTTGGTGGAGCAATGGGAGCGCAAGTCAATCCAAAGCCGAGGATAAAGGAAGGGTAATGGCTGAATAGTCTATGCGGACCACTTGAACGCCATGGGAAAATGAAGGGATTGGAGAGGTCGGTTATTGGGGGTTTACAACATATGAAAAGGCTAGTTGCTTGTTGGAGGACAATATATGAAAAGGCTAGTTTGTTTGAAAGGCTTTTTGCCTCCCTAAGCGGACCCCCCACATCCTTATTCTTTTGTTAATCTACTTAATGTTATTAGACTGTCTAAATTTTCTTATTTAAGTTCGTTTGATGATTACGATATCTCATTAGTCTAATTTAATAAATAATTGAAATCTCTAATTAACGGCGCCGGTGGTGTAGTGGTAAGCGTGATTACCTCTCACCCCAGCAGGCCTGGGTTCAATCCCAGTCGGCGCCGCCGGGATGTTCTGAGGCATAACATCTCTGATCACACCTTCCTTCGGATGGGAAGTAAAGCCGTTGGTCCCCGGTTCATGAGTTGATGGGTCGATAGGTAGGGTCCAGGTGTGGGAGCTGCCTTCCTGGCACGTTGGTACACGGAAAACAAGATCGACGGAAAAAACAATCCAAAGGAAAAAAAAATGAAATCTCTAATTTACCTAATCAGTAATAACCCATGCTTTATTAAGTATCTGCACTTGTGCATGTTATCTAAAATTTAAAGTGTTTCAAGTTGTTTATGACTTTGACCTACGGTCAGGAATCCTTATTGCCGGATTCCTTTTTGCCGGTATCCCTTATTGCCGGATCCTCATAGCCGGGCTATTCGGGAATAAGGATACTCACAGCTTATGGGATTTTCACTAATATTGGCTGTGGTGGATTATCTCATTTGTTTCAATATATAGAGCTATACTGTCTTCGAAAAAGTTGTTGTACTGGGATAGACCAACAAGCCTGTGTCATTGGATTCAGGTTTAATTGGAAACTACGCCGCTAGAGGCGCTTCACTTTTATGTTACTTATGACGGGCGCTATAATATATGGATCATAGGTCCAACATAGAATATTTCGTGATCCTGGCCATATAGAAAGTTACTGTCTTCAGCAAAGTTGTTCAAGTGAACAAGTCCTTTCGGATGGTGGCCATTTTAGTTCAGAACTCTCTCACTACGCAGCACTAGTGTGCATATGAGCTTGCTGTGTAAGCTATACAGTGGGGGAAATTCGTTTAAACGCAATGTCATTTTTGCGTTTATTTTCAACACAAAAGATCGAGACAAAAAATCAAATATAGTTTGTCATAGCCCATCAGAAGTCTCGTATTTGAGAACACAATTTGATTGGAAGTTCATAATGACTTTTGAAAAAATCCCAAAAAAGGTGATTTTGGGGGGGAAATTCGTTTAAACGCACTTTTAGTTTTATTAATCAAATCGAGTTCACAGTTCAAAAATCAACAATAAACAATAGTTAATACTTCGTTTGCTTTCCGTTTTTCTGAATAGTTTCGAAAATTCTGTTCGGCATTGATTTCACCAGCTTCTGCAGAGTTGTATCAGGTATCAAGCTCCAGGCTTCTCTTACGGCTGACTCAAGTTCACGAACTGTTTTAAACTGCCTTCCGCCTTTGTAAACCTGTCGTGCCAGGATGCCCCACAAGTTCTCGATAGGATTTAGATCCGGACTACGAGCTGGCCAATCCAAAAGACTGATGTCTCGTTCAGAAAACCATTTCAAAGATTGCTTGCTGACATGAATTGCTGCATTATCCTGTTGAAATACGAAATTTTCCGGCATAACGTCTTCAGTAAACGGGATCAAAACATCTTCCAGAAGCTCCAAGTACTTTCCCGAATTCATCCTGGTTGAAATGGTGGCAATAGGGGTCTTTCCATGGATCGAAAAAGCGGCCCAACACATTAGAGTACCACCTCCAAAGTTCCTGCTCAACTTAACCTGCGGAGATTTCCTCAAATCGTGCCAATAATATGCGGTGCAGTCTGGGCCGTCCAAATTGAATTTCTTCTCGTCAGAAAAAATAACATTGTCCCATTCCGTAGTCCAAGACATGTATTTTTTAGCGAAATTCAATCTGGCGCTAATGTGGGCCGGTTGAAGATTGGGTTTTTTTGCTTTTTTGGTGTACTTTAAGTGGCCACTTCCATGTAGAATCTGCCGTACACGCCTCTTAGAAATGGAAAGCCCCATTTCTTGCTTGATTTGCGCAGCAGAGAAGTTTCCAGAGTCTCCCATTTGTATGATTTGGTTTCGGACACGGTTGGTGATCTTCGAATTTCCCTTTGTTTTCTTTTTTACGCCATACGTCTTGCCTTTTTTCAGCAGGTTCCTGATTGCTGCTTCCGATCTGTGGATCACACGTGCAATTTTGCGATTGCTCTCACCGCGACTTTTGAGTTCTCGAACCAGTATTTGCTCCGACTGGCTTAAATACTTTCCTTTACCCATTTTGCCGAAAACAAGCAACAACTACCGCGCAACGCAAATTTAAACTCGTGTTAATGGCGAACGAGGGCTATACAGTGTAAATATGACAGATGCGCAAGATAACAGGAGCATAGGTACGCTCAATGCGGCTTTACGTTAGTGTGCGTTTAAACGAATTTCCCCTCTAAAATCACCTTTATTGGATTTTTTCAGAGACCACAATGAACTTCCGTTCAAATTGTGTTCTCAAATACGAGACTTCTGATGGGCTATGACAAACTATATTTGATTTTTTGTCTCGATCTTTTGTGTTGAAAATAAACGCAAAAATGACATTGCGTTTAAACGAATTTCCCCCACTGTATATCAAAATCCTGGCCATAATGATTACTGTCGGAATCGTATTCAGGGTACTTACAATAGGTTTTATTAATTAACTTAGCACAAATTCATGAAATTTCAATACATTTTTTTATCCAACAAGTCGTGATTATCTCTTGTCACTGTTTACTTTTTGAATAAAATTGAGCGGCCCTATCGGAAAAATTTTTACCTTTCTCTGCCCTATCGGAGTAAACGCTTCGCAAGTCACTCATCATTGGTAACTTTTCGCGAGTGGTGCTGAACGTGCTTATCCGTGGTGCCAATATGCCCCCGACCGTATTGCCCTTAAGCTATACTTCATTCTCTGGCTACATCCAGGATAGCGAGGTTCGTTGCCGGTCGGCGCATGATACCCACTGAGGTCTTAACATCCGCGCTGCGGACTCGTCCATCTCGCCCAGGATACACCCGAGTGACTATCTTCCTCTGATCCAGCTGTTCCTTAAACTCTCGTTCACAACGACAACCCAATCTCCAATGTTGATTGAAGTGACCTCTTCAAACCACTTTGGTTGTCGGGAGATGACAGGCAGGTATTCCCTGATCCACCGCACCCAAAATCGATCCAGCATTACCTGAACCTGCTTCCAGTTCGACCGCAATGCCATATTCTCCTCGATTGGCTGAGCCGCCGGTGGACCACTCCGCTTGAACTCAACAGTAGAAAGTGGTTCGGTGTCAAGGCTGCGTATTCCTCGCTGTCGATTGGTAGATAGGTTAAGGGTCGCGAGTTCACCATGGATTCCACCTCTGCTAGAGCAGTTCCCAAGGTCTCCTCATTCGGATTCTTTGACAACTCCATGTATGCCAGTCCAGTCTTGACTGAGCGCACCAGCCTTTCCCGTATGCCTTCCATATGGGGTGCGTAAGGAGGGTTGAGCTTCCACTGCGTGTCTACGTTCGTGAACGTCCCCGCTAGATCTCGATTGATGGCACCGATCTGCTGCCTTAGCTCCGTACTAGCACCTTGGAAATTGGTTCCTTGATCTGAGTAGATTTCCTGTGGCGCACGTCGACGGGCAATGAACCTACGTATTGCCATCTTGCAGGATTCGGAAGACAGAGTGTAGGCGACTTCTAAGTGGACTGCTCGGGTTCCTAGGCAGGTGAAGAGCGCTACCCACCTTTTGACACCACCACGGCCAAAGCGAACAGTGATCGGACGGAAATAGTCCAGTCCCGTAAAGGTGAAAGCCCTGACATACGGCGTAAGGCGAGCCGAAGGCAGTGGAGCCATCGGTGGGACTTGTGGTTTCGATTTGTAGACTCTACACCAGTTACAGCAACTTGCCACCTTCTTGACGGTTGTTCGCAGTTCTGAGACGTGGAACTTCTGCCGCATTTCGTTCACCACCGTTTCGTTTTTCGCGTGTCTAGCTGCGTGACGTAGTTATCCTTCGGCAAGATCACGGGAAACTTGGCTTCATCTGAAACGCACTCCGCGGCAGCGATGCGTGATCCCATTCACTTGACTCCTGTTGGGTCGATAAACGGAGATAGTTTGAATATCCGACTGCTCTGCTGGTTTTGCTTACGTTGCTCTAGCTGCACTTGGTGATTTTTCCGCAGAATTTTGCATTCGTCCGGGTATTCACTCGCTTGGATCGGCTTAAACACGGTCGACTCCGCTAGTTTACACTCCTCACTGCTCAAGGTTACGTCCTTGCCCTTCTGCCTGCAGCCAAACCGTAGAACGAATGCTACTGTGCGGGTTAACCTTTCCCACTTTGAAAACCGTTTGAACTCGATGACTAGCTGCGTCGGTGGCAGCTGGTGCACATGGACCATCCTTAATTCTTCGGCTGTTGTCGACTCGACCGCTTCCTCTGGCCAGCTACACTCCGGCTTATACAGGAACTCTGGGGCCTTGAACCACCTGCTCTGTTCTTCGAAACATGGTCCATGACCCCACTTGGTGGCTTCATCGGCTACGTTCATTCTCGTGGGCACCTTCTTCCAATCACTGACCTCCGTTTCATCCAGAATTTCTGTTACCCGAAATGCTACATACTGCTTGTACTTTCGCGGGTCTGACCGAAGCCAGTTCAAGACCGTGGACTTCATAAGTCGTGTACCAATTACGGCTGCTTGTAGCTCCAACCGTGGCACTGAAAGTAACTTAATCGGCGCCACCTTGGGTTTTGCAGACACGAGACTGCAGCGTATTTTACCACCATCTACTATCCGGAAGTAGGCTGCGGCGGCGTATGCAGTACTGCTAGCATCAACGAAAACGTGCAATTCGAGCGAATCGTAGGCTCCAGCGCTGTAGCCGGGAAAGTAGCATCTGGGTATCTTCACCATATCCAGTGTTCCAAGTAATTTTACATACTTTTCCCACCGGGGTAGGATATCTGCAGGTAGCGGCTCATCCCAGCCAATTCCGGATCGCCACGCTTCCTGAACTATCGGCCTTCCATGAACTACGAAGGGAGCGATCATCCCTAATGGATCGAACACACTCATGACTAAGCTCAGGACTTGGCGTTTGGTCGGCACAACGGATCCATCCATTAGACCTTGCAGATCCTCCGGGAAAGTCATCGAGAATACGAAGACATCTTCTTGTGGTCGTCACACCATCCCCAATACCCGTTCCAGGTTGCTACCCTTGTCCATGGTGAAACTCCTCACCGACTTCGTGTTCTTCTCCCCAATCCGCTGCAGCACCTCTGGAGAGTTCGACATCCAATGCCGAATAAGGAATCCTGCTTTTTCGTGCACTTCCTTAACGTCCAATGCCAGCTGAACTGCTTCTTCGACAGAATCAACGCTGTCAAGGTAATCGTCCACATAGTAATTTTTCTTTACCGCCTCCGACGCCTGCGGAAATTCCGCAGCATACTCATCCGCATTCAGGTTCTTTACAAATTGCGTTGAACTAGGAGAACACGTTGATCCGAAAATAGCGACGTCCATGACGTATACTTGAAACGGATCGGATGGATTGTCCCGCCACAGGAACCACTGAGCTGTACGATCTTGGAGTATGATGAGTACTTGATGGAACATGGAACGCTTATGGCGGTCTCCTTCTGTCGATAACGACATAAGACTGCTTGCAACGCTGTCAGCAGGTCAGGTCCTTTTAGAAGAACGGAGTTCAAGGAAACGCCTTTCACCGATGCAGCGGCATCCCAGACGACCCTAACTTTATCGGGCTTTTTGGGATTCACTACGACATCCAGAGGTAAAACCACGTCCGCTTCGGATCTATCTCATCCAGTTCACGTGGAGTTGCCTTTTGTGCATAGCCCTTGGATACGTAGTCTGCGATTTGCTGCCTAACATTGTCGTACAAGGTTGGTGATTTATAAAGACGACGTTCTAAACACTTCAGTCTCTGCTCGGCCATGGACCTACTGTTGGGAAACTCAACGTTGTCGAACTTCCACAGAAGTCCGGTTTTGAATCTGCCGGTTTCAGTCCTGATTGTGGTTGCTTGAAGAATCTCTTAAGCTCGCTTGTCGTCCGCTGATTCCTTCGCCTGTGTCACCGAAACCCCAACGCTCTCCATAGAGAAGAAACTCTTCACTAGCTCGTGTAATTCGTTGTCTTGGGACTTGGTACGAGTATGAAGAACTCGCTGTGATAAACTTCTGACTTCATTTCCAGAGTGACCATATAGAACCCAGCCTAGCCTAGTTTTGGCAACTACTGGCTCGTGTTCACGGCCCCCTCGCAACTTTAGCGTTGTCTTCAACCTTGCGTTGTCCAAACCTATCAGGATACCTGAAACAGCGTCGTTGTAGCTAGTGGGGTGCCAACACATCCTTTATAAGGATACCATTTCATTGTACTTCGCCAATAATGTGGACATTAGAGTGGATCAAGTTTGTATGATGCATCAAAACCTTTGTTCCAAACTGCTCTTTTGATGTGTGTTAAGGTCTCTAACAACGATGAGGAGCGAATTTGGTTATGATCTGGATTTGCGGGAGAACTTTGAATGTTGCATATGGGAAACGAATCAAACTAATTAATTTCTTCGCCAAAAATTCAAATATTGGTTAAATTTCGCCAAATCTCGGAAATAGATCGGAATACAAAACAAGTTTGTCAAAGACTGCCAAGGATTCTTTTTCACTAAATGGTTGTAAGTAAACAGACGATCTCGTGACACACATTGAGAGTGGCCTGCTTCTGCCGACAGCCGAGTGAACACTGCAATTTAGGCTATATCTAGCGTTAATAACGTGTGAGGTATATGTTGCAGAAGTTTACATGATTGTTTGAAACGGTGCATGCAAAATTTAAAACTTTCCAAATACGTTCAAATTTTGCACAGTTGTTGGGGACCCTATACGTGTTGAAGGAGCAGTTGGGAACAGGGGGTTGTAAAGTTGGCCCACCGTAGTGGGCATGTCTCTTAAGCAAATCATAACATTTGTTATACGAAATCATAACTCGATCACCATGTTTCTTCAATAATTTTATGCTTAACATCCTGACCCATTCCATCCACGAGCAGAAATCCGTTTCGCTTTTCCACCATTTCATCTACCGAATCGCACGAAAACGACCGCCCGAAAACCGCAAAAGTTCATCACACGAATCTGAAAATTTGGGTGGCAGGTGCATTACCCGGTGCTGTCCTTTGGACCATCATCATAAAAATCTTCTCGATAGGGCAAACGGGCAAAAAAAAAAACAACAACCTACCTTCATCAACACAATCCAACGAGCACGGCAGATCTCGATTTGAGATTCTGGTCGGTGGAATTATCCACCGTGGGCCAATTTCGATAATTGAACTTATGTTCGGCAAATATTTTCACCGGCAGTAGCAATTCCAGAAGGTGGCTTCGTTAATGAGCTTAGTTTTTGTTGCGCGCTTCCCGGAGGCCTTGAAAAAAAAATTGCTATCAACGGCAGCAGGAAGCTCTCTTGGAAGTGGCAATTTTGGGACCCGCATGCCCTGTGGAAAATGAAGTTACATTACTATAAGGCGATCACCGATGCCGGCGATGAAGACGACGACGAGAGGAAGCGGGATTAATTATGATCGCTCACTTGGGCGATGGTGTTGACGATAATGGGTGTGTAGTGATGATGGCTAACTCCCTCGAAAGAAAAGGGAAAATGTGTAGAAAGAATCTTGCTCCGATGGCAGATAAGAAATCCGGACACAGGGAGGACGACGGCCGAGGCAGCGAGAGGCTAATTGCGTTATGATTGAGCCCTTTGTGAGTGGAGTTTGAAGCTGCTTATTAGTGAGATGGGTGAGGTAGCGTGAGTTTTTTGACTCACCAGCCGAAGTGTTTGCTTCATTTTCGGGTGCTTAAATTGGTGTTGATTGTGCCCTTTTTGTTACACGGAAAGCTGGGTCGGAGATGAGCGCAATCTGATGAGCGGAAGTCCTCTATGACTAATCAACATTAAAAGAAAATTTAACTGCTGGTGGTTGAAACGTAGGTCTTTCCATGGACTATTATTTTGAAACCGTTATGTCATTAGTGAACCACTTTGGATTGATTTGTTTGATTTAAAACTGTGCAAAGCATTTCCATGTACCTATTGTTTTCTTACCTTATCGAACTTCCAAAGATTCAAGTTCTAATAGACCGGGACACTAACAAAAAACGTAGGTACTCAAAAGAACACCAGAGGCAACTCACTGACAGCTGCTGCTGCTATATTTACGTGCCAATTTAAATTAATGGCAGCACACAGCTCCATTAATACTACCAAACTGTCACCAATTTAGTCAACACCAAGGACTACTCGATAGCTGACGTCAATTGCCAAACCAAAGGGCTCCCCTTTTTACAGTTTGTTTGGTATAGAGCAGAGAAACAATGTCCAACAATCAGAAAGTGCAAACTCGACTGGAAGTCTGACGAGAAGAGGGAATGGATGTTTTCTGTGAACGAAAGCATCTGCACTGCAAAGATGATTGTCTCGATTAGGATTGATGCTCCACCATCCAGTTTCTCTCTGTGTCCCCGACTTGAAGCAGCAAACTCAGCAAATAAATTGCATATTTAAACTAAACAACCCTTATCGCAAACGGTGATGCAGCAGACTCCGGAGCTGCCTCGGCCTGGATCACAAATGGAACATAAATTTGTTTTGTTTAAATTTAATGAAAGCTTAAGCTTGTTCCTGGCTGGATAAGGGTGGAGTGGTGGGTTTGCTGACAAAGCATAAATTCAAATGATGCATTTTGCTTCTTGTTTTTGAAATTGCGTTGCTTTGAGTGGGTCATTTTATCATAGGCAAACACTAGTATGATGCTGTCCGGCTTATGGAATGAATGAAATGTCCTATCACCTATTGTAAAAGATGGTATAAGATTGCATTATTTTTCTAAATGTGAAAAAAGTGTGAAAACTATTGAAACCCAAGCAAACAGAAACTATCATCATCCTCTATTGATTCAGAGCTGTTTTTGGTCGAACCGTTTTGATCCTATTCAAACATTTGCGACCGTAAAAGATGGTAAATGAATGAGAAGAGGTGTGTATTTCAAAATTACTAAATTTACCTACATTTCGATCGAAGCATTCCCATGTTGTACAAATATAAACAAAAGCCCTCCGTTCGGTTCTTCGCCGGTTGAAATAAAATTTAAAGAAAGATGAACCAAACGAAATGGAAGGTGTTTTGCTTGTACCTACTGCAGGCTGTGTTTGATCAACTCAAACATATCATAACAAAAATAAAAGCTGTAAAGTGGGTTCAGTAAAAATATTGAATTAGGAACATCCGGCAAGTTACCGCCGTCAGCGACAGAAACTAATCAGTGGATGCTGTTGGAGATGGTTGCATGCAATATTTCCAGGGCTCGGTAGTTGCACGACTCACCGCAAATTTGATGGAAATCATTCAAATATCAGCTCATATGCAATGTTTGAAGGTATAGTCTATTTAATAAATAACTTAGCACTGTAATGAACTAACTCCAGAAAGCTTTGTAGGCCTTGTGGTCATAGATGTAACTGGTCAGCTTCAAATGCGATATGGAAAAACTCCAGCGATATCATGGTAAATTTAGAATTGGTTTCACACTGATTTTTCATAGGTTCGCGCCCTTGCAATTTCAGAATACACAAAATTTAGTACCCTTTTATTAAAACTAGGGTACGGGGGTAAACTTGTCAGCTGTCAGCTTGCTTCAGTTTAATGTCGATCAAATCTTTACGATCTTAAACTAAAACTAGCACTGTTGAATACTCCATCGCCTGGATCGAATCATGGTGATAAAACTGTAATCACACTGTAATCAACACTTTGCTTGAAGAATGAACAACCGAAACAAAATGACAGATTCTTCGAGATCCTTAAACTTCGGCGAAGGTCTACACTTTGCTGAAGTTATCGATGCATTCCTGAAGTAATTGGAACTGCGCTAAAGATCAGGGATTTTATGCGGTAATTGCGATGCTGTTTATATTTTTATTTTAAAACCAAATCTAACATGTATTAAGCACCGAAATGTGGTTTAAAGCGCAGAGTGATTGAGCTGTGCCGAACACAGACCGGAGCGTCAAAGAATGACGCTGAAAACCGTGTGCAACAAAGCAACCAGTTCTCAGTGCTCG